GAACCTCTTTCCATAAGAAGGACTTCTCCCTTTTCGAAACGAGTCCTTAGACTGAGATCTAGACCCCTTTCCGTACCTTGCCGGCTTGGTAGACCGTGGAGTTCGCCCTCTGTTTCACAACAGGTCCAGGACAGTTAGTGCTTCAGGCTTCGCTTCTTCAGGGGTGTTAAACGTCGATGAACTTCGAAGGACATAACATTCCTCTTTCTCTTTCTTCGGCTTCTTTTCATCTTCTTGCCTTCTTCTTCGGCATTCTCCAACCTCCATTCATAAAGCTCCTGTTGAAGGCGATCATTTTCACGTTGTTGCTCCTGGTACAGGCTGGTCAACTTCTTCATATCTTGTGACATTTGCCAACGCCACATGATTTCTTCTTCCTTTTCCTCTTGAAGGCGACTTCGATGGCGACATCGAGGATCTTCGGAAGCTTCTTCATCGCACCGCCTAAGCTCCTCACCTTCCTCCTCCTCGTAGCTTCCTGGTGCTTCCTTTCTTCTTCCTTTTCTTCCTTCAAGCCTTTCTTCTTCTTCTTCTTCTCGAAGGAAAGCTGGTCGTTGAAGAAGCTCCAACTGCTCTTCCGAGGAAGACGGAGGGGGTGCTTTTCCGAACACCTGAGGAGCTTGCCGAGCTGCGGCCCTGGCTTCCTTCATTTGCTCTTTCGTGAACAGAGGCTGCATCATCTCCAGCTGTGGAGGTGCAAGCGGTGCAAGCGTCACTGGTCGGCCCTTATTTGGTGGTTCGGCCGATTCCTTCATGCTTTCTTTTGACCCACCACTGCGGAAGACCTCCAACTCCGTGGTGGGACCCGTGGCAGACTCTGGTGGTCCTGTAGTTGACCTTGGGGGCGTTGTCAAGCCCTTCTTCATTTCTTCCTTTATCTCTTCCTTTTTTTCTTCTTTCAACCTTTCTTCCTTTTCCTCAGCTCCCTGATTGGCCACATCAGGAAGAGCCAGTTGCGATGGATCTCCATGCTCCATCGTTCGACGGCGGCGAAGCATGTGCTGAGAGGCAGGGTTGTCAAATGTAGTGGAAACCAACTTTGGGCTCATGACCTGTTGATGGGAAATGGTCGCGGTCCCCTCCAAAACGTAGTCCCTTTCCACTCAAAAGAAACACAGTGAACAAACTCTTCAAAGCTCGCTCCTTTTTCTCGTGACCTCTTGGTCGTGTTGGTGGTCTTTCGTGACCTTGTAGGGGTTTCTTGATCCCTCATGAGCAAAGGGCTGCAACATGAATGCTGCAAGCACGACAGCGAAGAGCGTTCATCAACATTATAATATTAATAAATCCATGATATAAAAATCCTATATCATATCGTAAAATAACGCAATTAATGATTAAGAATAACATCAATAATAATGGATAAGTTGTTTTCTATTATTGTTACAGATTGTTGCAGTACAGAATTCCATATTTTGAGCCTTTTGAGCATCACCCCTCGTCAGGTGCGTTCATCTCCTGCAAGTGTCAGATCCTAAACATATCTGGATACAATCCCAAATCTTCAACGTACCAGCGCCTTCGGACTCTTGTCATCGGCCTTTCCCTGTATTCGTGCCTATCAGCAAGAAAGAAAAAGCAAAGGAAAGCAGCAATGGTGGAGCAAGCCGCTCTGAGCTTGGGGCACTCTGCATGTAGTGTGCTGACACTTTGGCCTCGAACTAGGTGCCCCATGATGCCCCCACCCAAATTAAACCACACTTTCCTCATGGCACCCGTCTTCTGAGGGCCTTGCCCGAGCAACAGCAGCCCTTACGTTGTCAGCATCCCTCATGAGGCAAAAGCACCCACATCAGCATTTCGTGAGGATGTTTGAAGATGAACATGGGGGGAACTCATGTTGAATCACTAAACTAAACCCTAAAAATATCTGCAAAGTTCGATCTCAGCAATCTGACCTTGATCTGGAATGATCGTCCTTTGGGACCCTGACTAAGACAGCCAAGTCGCAGCTCTGGAATCTCCACCACTTCCATGCGGTGGACCGAATAGTTGGTCTGCGCGCTACAACTTGTGCCGGTGCAACAACTCCTTTCCCGTTAATTGGGGATAGTCATCACGGACCAATATGAAACGATGATGAGATCGTATCCTCCTTGCGCCATGTGGTCAAATAATCCATGTTGCATGTTGCCTCCATTGCGCTGGCAGCAATTAACACATGGTGGTCCTGAAGCACAATCGAGACGGCCCATCGTTTCGAGACACTAACTTTCGCAAATGGGTACGAGTACATATGAGTACCGCTCTGCCCAGTGGACCGTCCTTGCTTTCTTCCTTCACGCTAGAGTCTGTACTCGAAGCCTCCTGACCAACACTAGTTACTAGTTATGGCTCAGTAATATCACCGTAGAGCCAAACAGGGCATAAGCTCAGGCACCTCGTCGCTTTCATTAGACTCTTCTCCTTGAAAATTGCATTTCATGACATTTCCAGCAGAGCACTGTGCTCTCCTGTCCAGTTTAAATCGCCTCCACTGTTCTCGTGGATCTCAACTTCTTCGCTTCGTTCCTCTTGTCAAGAAACAGGTACCGAAGCTCGTCAGGACACGAGCAAATTCACAAAGGGCGTGCCTCATCCTCTTCGTATTCATGAACAGAAACATCTTCATCTTGCGGAGTTGATTCATCTTCTCGGGCCTTCGCACTGCTCCACATGTGAAAGCCCGATGCTTTTAGATCTATTTCGGTTCCTCTGCTATTTTTCAAGTAGAGTTTCATGAAGCGAGCGACAGGTCTGTGTCCGAACAGGGCCTGAATCATCTTCCGCGAGGGTGGGTGAAGCTTCAGGGTGTGCCTCGTCTGTGGGTCAAAAGCGCGCCCCAAAGGAGCAGAATTGCGAATTGCACAGCAAACATGGCCATCGGGCGGCTCAACCCCTTCATACTGTACCCAACATTACCTAACTTCTTCACTGAAATACACAAAAACATATCAGGATATATCAGGTACATAAAGTCAATAGAAAGTCAAGGTATGAAAAGAAAGTGAAAATAAGTCTGGAGGCGCCTGAAACACGAGAGCACCGTGCACTTCTGAACACACCGGGCCACCGAGCACTTCTGAACGCTCCTCTTCACCATGCAGTCTCACCTAGCGAGAATTGAACCTTGGGAGTTCTTGGTGAAAGCTGCAGGATGCGCCAAAATAGTGGCAGAACGGTGACTGGAATAGCACCGGAATGTCAAAAACAACATGAGCACCAAAGGTCTTTTCAAAAAACAGGGGCCAGTTGAGCTCCCTGTGATTGTCATGTTGAATTGAACCCTTCATGTCATGTCCTTGATAATATTCTGGTGAGATCTGCAGCTAACTTTTCCTTGTCCTTAGTGTCAAACCCCTGAAACAAAACCTAAAAGCCTCTGGTGGGCGATTCCCAATTCGAGCAGTTGGCCTCTGCAATCTTCTCTGAAACGACATTGCCACCTGAAGTCTACTGCAAGAACCCACAGGGTCCACTCAGCAAGGATCCCACTGTGCATGAGTCTCTACTGCAATGGTTCACCAGGGTTTCACCCGGTACAATTCATGACCGGCACCTATGTTGCAAATCCTTCGTGCTGCTGGCGGCACAAAATGGCTGGGTGCTTTGGAGATAAGAAGACTGGGTACGCAGTGACATTCACTTCGAGTGAAAGCCGAACGCTCGCAAACTCACGAAGCAATCTTGACATACAGTAGCAATCCGGTCTCACCTAAGTACTTTGTGAAACAAGAAGGCGCGGCCATCGATACGCACTGGCTTTAACAAACTTCCCAAACTGCGCTAAGACTCCATCCTCGCTCGCTGGCGTAGTAGCGAGAAGCCAAGCTCGGGTCTTGGCGATTCACAAATTGGACCATTTGGGCGTGGGCCATCGTGGGCCCAATGAATAGCAGGACGTTATTTCTTTTTTGCGGATCGATGTGGATCATACCTTTTCACTTGCACCGCTGTCAGTAAGAGTACGTATGCTATGCTTTCCGCTCACCTGCTTTCTCTCCTCGCAGGGCCACATGGTAAGGGATCTTCCCCTCCAAGTCCTGCACCAAGCTGCCGCCATGCAACGGGCGCAACAGGGTATCGCATGCTAATTATAGTGGTTTTCCAGATTGAAAAGAGAGGGTCTCCAAACCAACCTAGATAAGGAAGTGCTCTCGTACCGTGACAAGTTTGAAAGATACACTATAGAGCTCACAGGAGGCATCAACAATACTCACATCCTTTCACCGCCACTCATTGCTATCCGCAAAACGCACATGGGCAAAATCACCCGCCTCCAATGATATGCTGAATTTTTGAGCAGTGGAATCTCAATGTATATCATGTATGTGGGTATCCTCGCAACTTCAGCACCACATCCACTGTAGACTTAGACATGTTTACACGACCTTGTTTGCTCTTCTGGGAATCCGGTTGCTGATTATGCGCTCATTCGAACCTACTGAACACATGTCGTTGAGAAGCTTTCAGGCAAGCCTGAGTTTTACCTTACACTCCCTACAAGTACCTTTGCTCCCTGTTTGCCTCACACGGAGTTCCCAGTTCAGCCTCAATGAGTTCATCAGCACCTTTGAAATTCCAAAAGTCTCGAATGGCATAGACCTGGCGCCCACGGCAGCCAGTGGGTGTGAAATTGAACATCTACAATGCGTCGATGCTCCGACAAACGCTGCATAATGCTGCAAGGTATGATCCGAAAATAGGTTAAAACGATGTTAACGTAATTTACAATAATATATAACTAGTAGCGATGCCCTTGTTACTAGTAGCATACAGTAAAAATAAAGTAAGGCTCTTGTGAGTGAGGTGTGTGGAAACACGATTGCAAACACACAGAAGTTGCATGGCATCAGGCGAAAAAATGGAATACGTCGTTCTTGCACCCCCTTTTGCACCCCAGAAATGTATCCACCTTAGGGACGCTGAACCTAATGGAAACACGAGTTGAATGCAAAGGTTGGACATCCGACTTCGGCCACGGGTGGTCGCCCACTGGACCATGGAGGGGCACGGGGCCTAAATCAAGTCTTGTCAGGGAATCCTTCCAAATGCGTCTTAGATTCTACGGTATGAGTGGTTAAAATTTGGAACACCTATTGATAAGTGGATATTGTGAATGCATACTCCTTGTTGACCCTGCTGTCCCGACCGCCATTGAGGCACAAGGGTTCTTTGAAGGTAAAAGATAGCGTGACTTTGCGTGTTTTACATTGGTAGCGTTGAGCCTGTCCCGTGCTCTGTGAACACGGCTTGGTGGACTTTGTGAAGTCCGAGGTGATCGGGGTCTTCGTGGGTGGCTCTGGGGGCTACGTGGTGGGGCAGCGCAGTCGCGATGCCATCGCCGAGCGCCGTGGACGGCGCCGATGATGGAGAAGAACAAGGTGGAGATCAAGAAGATGAAACAACATCTCAAAGAACCTCTGAGCAGTCCTGGGGGCGAAGGGGCTGGTCAGAAGAGGAATGGAAGCAATGGAACAGCTTCTATGCCTGGGGTCCTGGACCTACTACACCTGTTTCCCAGGGTGACCCTTGATGGACCGCTTCCGGTGGAGATCCATGGATGGGCGACAACCGTCGGCATGGAGGTGGAGGTCAAGACAAAATCCAGGTTCCGGAGTACTCGGGAGAAGATGATCGCGATGGGTTGAAGGCCAGAGGGTACATCCGGAAGGTCACACCCCTCTCACGAGGCAAGCAGGCCCGCATGCTGTTACAACAGCCTGTCAGGCAGGGCCTGGCGGGACGCCGACGAGCTGGAACTGTCCCTCTTGGACACCGACAACGGGGTGGAGATCTTCCTATCCGGGATCAGGGACAAGTACATGGACCGGGAGGTCACGAAGGTGGGCCGCTACATGTCTGACTTTTTCAAGGTCCTCAAAAGTGGTATGAAAGAAACTCTATTAGCTCGACTTGCAGTTCATTGTGAAACTATCACCATTCCGTGTACCACGTCAGCCTTGCCACATGTCAGCAACTGGAGAGAACAAGAGCCGGTCAAGTTCAAATATAGCACCGTGATCAAGCACCGTCGCCGGATGTCATCGAATCAGACTCGCCATGGAAGATGAACAAGCCGGAGCTGACCTCGACCTTGGTGTCCGTCCAGAGTGGACGGTGACGGAGCTTCGCTCGATCCTGTCAGAACAGAGGGAGAAGCCATCAGGATCGGAGCTCAAGGGCCTGTCCAGCCTGAAGCTGGACCAGCTGATCCAGAAATGCAAAGACCTCAACATCAAGATCCCGGAGAAGCCAACGAGGGGACTCCTGATGAGGATGATCAGGGAGGGGGCGCCGGCAACGGACACGGATATAGTGCCTTTCGGTCGCTATCGCGGATACCGATTCTCAGAGGTGCCTATGAGCTGGGCCATCCACGAGTGCCACAACAACGAGAACCACTCTCCGGACCTGGCCAGCTCGAAGCCGAACGTGGGCTACAGAGATCCCGAGGAGACGGCAAAGAAGGCGCCACCGCCGGCGGAGCTTCCACCCAAGTCTGCCCTGCCGAAAGCCGAAGGGGGACCGGCAGTGAAACCGAAGAGCAAGACAGCGCCACGGAAGAAGGGTCGAGCGACCACGTCGGACGAGGACGAGGACTTCACCATGGTCAGCGAAGCGGGGGACAACCGCGAGAAGATCCTGGAACTGGAGAAGACGGTGCTGGAGCTCAAGGCGCAGATCGACGCCGCGAAACACGCCACCAGTTCTGGCAACAAGTGTGAACGAGCGTGTGGCGGAGAAGAGGCGGAAGCTAGTGGAAAAGGCCGGGGCGGCCACTATGAACTCAGCAGGGACTGTGGTGACGAGAGAGGTCAAGACCGAGGATGAGGCGGAGGACTACATCATTGGGAATGACCTCAACAGCTCCGAGACCGAGAACGATTCCAACAACATTGAGGAGCGCATCGAGACCGTCACCACCCTATAGATCGGGTTAGGTTAAAAAACATTAGTTAGGTTATTTGAAAACAGAGGTTATGTTAACCTAGATAGTTTATTTTTGGAATAACCTAGAACAGAGAACTTTAACCTAACCATAACCTAACCTTTTTTAGAATAACCTAAGCTTATGTTTTCTAGCCTAGGTTTTTTATTAAACACACTTGGAGGTTTCTTTAAAAATCACTTACAATGATTAAAACTTTGCACAGCTTGAGAGACTTGATGACAAGGACTGTCTTCACTGTAGAGTGTTCACTAAGGGATTTG